CCTTTTTTCATGGTCTGTTAAGCCTTTTCGGTCATTTGACTTATTGGTTTTTGCACTGCCCTCAGTGGCGAGCCGAAAAAGAGATTGTAGACCCTCGGATTCAGCATAATGCAACGGGGCAGGAGGATTCGGAGCAGGTGGCTGGCGGGTTGTAGATGGGAAATGCGTTCATACGGAGCCCTAGGCTGCAGTGGACCGGTCTGTTTGCCCACCCGGCCACCCACTCACATGGAAGGGGCGGCGTCTGTTTGTCTTGTCCACTTTCCACGGTCGTATGTCCTTGCTCTCCATGTGTGTGTGAGTGTTTGGCCACATATAAAGATAGCTGGGTGTGCGAGTCTCTAAAGAAAAGGTCGCCATGGCGTCCAAGCACACAAACAGCCAACACCACATAATGGGGGAAAATATGTGTTGCACAAAAGAAATCGGCGAGTGACTGCAACAAACAGCGTATCAGGTTACACTCTGTGTTTATAGTCACGAGCTGTTTGCCACACAAATTTGTATACCATTCAAATTGATATAAATAATACAGCGCACATGTCCGCAGCCAGGATAGACAGGACATATATTATGGAAATGTGATTTGTGGTGCATATTTGTCTTTGAAAATTCGAGATATTTCCCTCTTTCATTGTTGTGCGAATCGGTTTACGAATGGCAATAAAATTGTGTATCGCGTTATATTGCTGTATACTATTTAGGATGGGGAATTGAGCCTTAAAGAAAGCATATCAAAGGATCCAATCTAAATAAATCGTTAAAAAAGTGATACAAATTCCCTAATGACAAGCCATAAAATGTAAACAGCAGGAGTGAAAGACGGAAGCCATTCCTACCTTAAATACCTCAAATATTAAGAAAGAGCGGTGCGATGCCTGCACATTTATTAAGGATAAAACTTCTTAAAAGGGCAACTAATTAATGTAAAACTAAGAAAACGGATGAAGTCCCAAACAGGTTGGACTATTTCTTTTATGGCAAAACCCTGCAAAGTCGATAACTTTTTGCTCCCTTCATTTTCCCCAGCAAAGTGCCAATGTTTTTTCCATAAAATATGAAGAAAATTTTGATTGTATAATTTAATTAGTTTCAGCACTCAGCCGGTGGAAGGGAAACTCCATAAATAACCCATTAAGAGGCCGCGGAAACTTTATCTGCCGTCGATGGTAATCATCCCAGTTAACCGAAACTGCCGGGACTTCAGTCCATTTGAGTGGCTTCGTTCAATTTCAAACTGTTGTGGGCAATTATTGTAAGTTTTTCGCTTGCCATTCCATCTGTTCTCAATTTCGCTTTAAGTGCTGCCGACGCTGCCGCTGCCGCTGCCACGCCTTGTTTTCAATTAAATGAACACACCCACCGCCCACCAAGCGCCACCCACCAGAGTTGCCCCCAATCGCTGGTTTCATTATTACCGAGTTGCCAAATACAAACAAGCCAAAAACAGAGCAAAAACAAAGAAAGCGTAAAATCCATGAAAATTGTTGCCGCAATATTGAAAACGCGCCGTATTTGGGTCTTCGTCGCCCCAAGTAGCCCTCTCCATAAGCCCTCGGTACAAATTGAGCAACAAAACCGCCCACAGCCCACCGCCCAACGCCCACCACCCACCGCCTGCCGTTGGAAAAGCAAGAAAAACAATCGGCAGCAGATTAAGTTCATGCCATGCTGCAGTTACATTTACAGTTACAGAGTTCCAGGACAAACCCGACCCCCGCTTTCATATTCATTTTTGCACATTTTGTGTTATATGTGGGCCAAAACAAATGTTGCCCGAAACCGATTTTCACCCGAAACCGGGGAAAACCCATCCTGAGCATCCTTTCAGAGACTCTTTCGCTTGCGCTTTTCAGGTTTCAGGATCATTGGCAGCGGGTTCGCAATCGTTTTCTGTTTTTCTGTTTCGGGAGGGCCTGAGCAAACGTTGCGAAAATATGTCACAACATTTGTTACACATTTTCGGGTCAATTTTTTATTGCAACGGGTGACTCCACTCTCCTCTGCATAAGCCGGGCCACCCACATGCTCCGAAATCTTGTCACAGCTGCTGGCAACTGCCTTTCCCTGGAAAACCCCACACACATCCCAACAATGCCGCCCCAAATCCCCCTTCGCTCCCTTCGAGTGCCATTGACACTAGCGTGTCTTTCAATTAAAACCCATTCAGCTGTAAAATCGTAAACAGTTTTGTGCAGAGAGCAGAACCCCCTGGGTCTGCTGATAATGGTGATGGGAAAACTATTTAGCCACTCTTAAAAATACATTGATAACCACTGGGGCCAAATAGGAAGAAAACAAAGTCCATCTTCTGTTACTCGAAGTTGCAGCTGTGTCACTTAAGCCAGTCTTTCATTTGGGTTTAAGGACCAATTTAAAGTGTTATAATATAGAAAAACATGTGGTGTTCAAATAGATTAAACCAACAAATTGGAAACGCAATCTTAATTCCAAAGAAGCCATCTCAAAGAAAATTAATATATAAACTTTAGATGAGGTTATTTAAAATGAGCTTGTTCTCTTATAAATATGCTGCTCAAATAATAACATCTATTTAGTATGATTAACTCTCAGTAGCTGCACAACTCTAATGTTTTGCTGGCAAATAGAATTTGTAATAGGTATTTAAAATTAACCTGCTTTTGTTAGGCACCAAAGCAGTGAACCTGCGTGACAGCCCACCATGCCGCACTCATTGGCCTCTTGCCTACTGGGTATCAACACGCGAGGCAGCCTGAATGACTGCAAATTAATTATGCACAACAAACAGATGACCCCCAACCGGCGCATGGCGACCCGCGTGGCAAAGACAACAGTATATGTACGTTTCCATGTACTGTGGCGCAGCAGAAGAACGCCGGGTCCGGCGTCTGCTGTCCGGTTTGTCCAGTAATTGTTGCTTTAATTGTTGTGCAATCCCCAAACCCAAACCCAAACCCAGCCCACACCACAGCCCAATCCCAATCCTAAAGCCGGAGCCCGAAGACCCCAACCAAAAAGCCTAAGCTGAGGCAGAAAGGGGACGGAATGATCGGAGGCTGCTTCGCCAATGTCGACCGCAAATTAATTTACAACGTAAACTGCAAAATTGAAAATTATGTTGTAATTACTCAATTCTGACGTTTTTCCCATTGACCCAAATTTATGGGGCCGTGCACCAACACACTCATAAGCCACACACACACTGGCGCACATACACATTCAGCGCAAGAGTTGAAGGCGCTTCCTTGTGGACGCTCCTTGGCTCAGCTCTAGGATTTGCTGGCACTGAGAGAAACCCGCCTCTAATGTCCAAAGTATTACTATTTTAGACCGAAATATAGTATTTTATTTGCGTCTATTTGGACCAGCTATCAATTCGATCAGCTATCAATCAGAAGTGATTCAAATATATGTTCGTATATACAGGAGGCGACTTTATTTTGCCCAGTGAGTGGTCCTGTTCATGTCTGGCCTCAACCTTTGTGCCAATTTAAATGCGTAATTATAACGAGTGCCAGAGAGCAGTTAGAGTCCGTTCTGGCCTGCATATTAATTACGTTCAAGGCGCAGCACAAAGCGGAGTCCTGAAAGGGGAGGAAATCTTGGCAGGACCAAAGCAGACAATAGGAATTTTAATCAAGGATCAGCGTGCTCGAATTTATTTAAAGGTGGGCCATCGGAGCACCCCACCCACAAGTTGCTCCGCTCCTGGCCCCTTGGCGCTTCGGTTGGTAATCTGGTCAGCGTGTTTCAGGCATGCCATGAATGCCTTGCCCTTGCCCTTGTCCCTTGTCCCATTCCGCTCTTTTCACAGGCACAAATGCCGGCCAATTGCGAGGCTCCGTGAAGAGGGGACAAATAAAGGCTAATTAAGAGCGGAATGACAAGGCGAAGAAATGGATTTTCATTGTTGCTGCCAGGCCGGGGCAAATGGTGCTCTGAGGTGGGAGAAACCCGCGATCCAAAGGTATTTAACCTGTCTTTTTACAAATCGGCTACTTTGCTGCAGCCAGATCTATAATAATTATAATACATTGATACCTGCAGCAGCGATGGGAAACGATTCCGCATTATAAATAAGTCAACTTTGTCAATTTTCTATCAACTAATCGGGTTAAAAGCTAATGCTCCAATAGAAACCTAAATTAGATTACCGTTCGTTTCCCTCTGACTGGCTTTAACCGCAAGACGCTCAAGAGTTTCCGTAGTGTAGCGGTTATCACGTGTGCTTCACACGCACAAGGTCCCCGGTTCGAACCCGGGCGGGAACAGTCAGAAATTATTTTTCTTCTTTTTACTATATTTGATAATAATTTTAAGCTTAACAATTGTTTTTTTTTTAGTTCTTGAGCGAAAAGTGGGATATGCCTGTGAGATATGTGAGATAGCTGCTTAGAGCTTTTACAAACCGCTTGCATTTCCAAGCAACCACTCGATTTAAAAATATATAATTTAAATATATATATATAATAAACGGAATCCCAAAATGTAGTACTTTATATTTAAAGAATTCATAACTTTGTTCGATGCGTGTTAACTAGAACAATTGCGGTAACATTGAACTTCAAATAATAATCAAATTACAGATATCACAATTTCCCAGTGGGGATTTCCCATGGGAATGTGAATAAGCTTATATATTGTATATTCAGCGAGAGCAAATCATTTGATTTACAAATTTGCTCTAAACCAGTATTTATTGTTGTTTTGAAGATTGAAGGGCTGGAGAAATGTTAGCTTGGGCCAGTTAACAGAATCATAAGCTTCCGTACCGGCTTTACATATGATATGCATGCTGAAGCTTAAAGTTTGTGTTCTACACTAGCCAACAAAGATGGACACCATTTATTATGTAAAATAGAAAATAAAACGAATTCATACCTTTGAAACTGCTCATTTGACACGTTTTTAAGACTACACTGGACTTCCCTTGACTTTTTTGACCCTCATTTTAAAATTTGCATGAATCACACTCTTTATTTTCCACACAAGAGAGCTTTCTCTTCTCTGGTACTTACCACGCGATATTCCAGAAAAGCTTTGCATAAACAAAATACGCAGAGCTTTCAGAGTCCACGCACTGAAGTGGTAGAAATGTCAAATTCGCGATTATCAGAGATTATTGTACAATATTGTTATTTATTTGAGTTGTAAATCTTCGGAGCAAGCACAGGCTGTAAATCTATCACTCTGAATTCGTTCACGTAGCCGATTTCCTAAGAAAATACAAACATTCCCGAGGTACTCAAAGAACTTGCCGGTTGCAGAAAAAACTCGCGTCCGTCAGCTGTGAAAGCTTATTGCCAACTGAGAGAACCGGCATCGAGAAGTAGCCTTATGCAATTGCTCACGTTTGTTTACCAAGTGGTTCCCCGTAAGTGATAAATACTAGCCAACGAATGAATGAACCGGATACGGATAACATAATCGGGATTTGGAAACGATAAACCCCCAACACTTTTTCATTGGCGCTCTGAATTTCACTAGTTACAAACTGGAAATAATTGCTTGGCGCTCCCACGCCAAACGAATACTGCGGTTTATCCAAACCCACTTAGCTATGGATCATTGGCTTCTGATTGCGTAAGATCACTAACGATTTCCATTACTACAGAACTACCTATATACACTGCACTAACTAACTGCAGTATATATGTACATATGTGTATACATGTAGGTATAGAATTCTCTATGTATCACTCAGTCTTTTCATTAGAGATTGGCATGGAATGCATGCCGATAAGATACACATATTTCCAGTTAGTAAGGCACTGTTAATCGCAAGTCACATTTGAAACAGCACTTTAAGATACTAAAACATTACATATAGGAACTTCCAGGGTCTGGAGCCGCACTACATTTCGTTTACACAGTTTATTTATCAAAATTAAATATAATATATATTAATTTAGTCAACAAACGCCATCATCGGCGATGGGATGCGGTTAATAAATAGTACACTGCTTAGATCAGGAGGGGATGGTCATTAAGAGTACATAGACTAGTGCGTACCTAAATCTAGGCTACAGTTACGGCTAAGGTGGATCGGTTGGATCGGTTGATCGGGAAAGCGATTAGTCCCTCGTGTGATCGCGTATCCAGTCAAGGTACTCAGTGACTCGAGTATAGACACCTGAATGGGCATAGAAAATGGTCAGAAGTGCCTAAAGTAGTTCGTCTGTAGTGTGACGTACCTGGATACCCGGGCTCACCACACTTGTTGCCAAAGGAGACCACTCCCAGTTGAACCCAGTGGGAGTCATATCGCATCATCAAAGGGCCGCCGGAATCGCCCTAGAATGAACATAAAAATAGGTTTTGGATCCTCTGTGAATGGACACTCCTATAGTAGCTCACCTGACAAGCATCCACTCCACCATCGGAATATCCTGCGCAGATGAAGTTCTCGTTGATGGGCTGGAAGTAACTACGGTCGCAATCCTCGTTCCGCCAGATGGGCAGTTCCGCCTGCCGCTGGCTGGTGGACTCCTTACCACCATAGTAGGTGGTGCCCCAGCCCACAACGGTGGCTCTACGTCCGGGAAGCCGCTCCTTGGGCGGCATCCTGATTCCCTTTGGCAGGCACACAGGAATCACATACTTCGACTTTCGCACGGGCTTATCCAAAACCAGGATGGCAATGTCATTGTAGAAACCTATGCGGGAGAAGCTGCGGATACACACGTTACTAAACCATCCACTTTAGGTGGACCAAGACCTACCGCTCATGGGTGCGCACTTCCTTGACGGCGAAGGTCACGGGATCAGAGGGCTCGGCATCCGTGGACAGATCGATGTCCCCCAGGCGAACTGTAAACTGTCGAGCAGCAAATCTAGAAGAAACTCGTTATTGGTACCATCTAAATGGATGATTTACTACGTCTTACGGCTTCTGGCGCGAGTCCCGCGTACAATGTGCTGCCGTCAGGATATACTTGGTGCCAATCAACGAACCGCCGCACCAGAACTCGGTGCGCTTAGGTCCATGGAGGAAAATGGCCGCCATCCAGGGCCACTGACCATTCGGGGCCTCCACTCCGCCTACAATGCGGCCCGATGAGTACTCCTGCTGACCGCACTCATCGGGGTCCACAATGTTGTTGCCGATCTCTTCCAGGCCCTCTGGCTCAAGAGGCGCCTCCGTCGTGGTGGTCGTGGTGCTCGTGGGCGGTTTCTTCTGGGGAATGAGCACGAGGCCGGATGTGGGGCGCGTGGTGGGGCGAACAGTGCTCTTCTTCGTGGGTTGCGTGGCCTTGGTGGTGCTGGTGCTGGTCGTGGGACGGGTGGTCAGCCTCAGAGGCTTCTGCGTGGTCAACACAGTGGAGGATGAGGAAATGGGGCAGCACACGCCCGGCACATAGAGACTCTTGAAGCACAGAGACTCCCTCAAGCTGCTGAGATTCAGCAGCAGGGCGGGACAACTGCTGAGATCCTCGCAGCGTCCTCTCCTCCCACTTGGCGTCTTGCAGTAGTTTTCCACATCTTTCGCGGTTCCTGCCTCATCACTGGCATCTGCCAACTGATCCAAGGGGCTCAGAGTGACCGGTGCCTCTGTGGTGGTGGAGGAGGTGGTTGTGGTGCGCGGAGTGGTGGGTATCTTGATCTTCTGCTGCGATTGCTGCGCTCCCTGGGCTGCCGGAACCGGGACTCCTTCTTCACTGGGCTTCTTGACCTTCTGCTTGTTCTTATTCTTCTTCTTTTTCTTCTTCAGCTTCAGCTCCTTGTTCTCCACAAACATGGGAGAAGAGTCATCCATGCCGATCCTTTTGGTGGCCACTTGGATGGCACTCAGATTGGCGGGCTTGCCAGCTGGTAGCAAGCTATTGGCAGAGAGCGTAATCGGTAGGGGATCCATAAGTTTGTCGGAGACTCCTGGCAGGGGTTCCGATTTTCCACGCGGCGAGGATGTGGAAGAGGGAACCACTTCAGTGGTGCTCAAAGCACTTGTGGCTGAGCTGGCCGATCCAGCTGACTGGCTTTTGTCCTGGCCCGCATCCTCACTCTGCTCATCGCCCTCCGTTTTGGCCTGATCCTGTCCACCGCGAGTTATGTCCACCAGCATGTGCCCCACGTGGTTTAGCGCACCCAAGGTCTCAGAGATGCGATTAAAGGTGGATTGCGAGAGCAAACGGGGCAGGGACTCGTTGCTGCCCTCGGACTGTTCCTCGTCGCTATCGTAGTACTCGCTGGAACCCTCAACGTCGTCGTCGTCATCCTCGTCATCCTCGTAGGTCGAGCCGGACTGACTGCTGCTGCTCACACTGCTGGCCGAGCTCTGGCTCTCGGCTAGGTCCTCGCTCAACTGGCGACCCAGTCGTCGGTCGTGCAGATGCGGCTGGAAGAAAGACGCTGCCTTAAGGGTTTAAGTTATGAATGTCCGTGCACAGCATCCTGCATCTTGATCGCACTTACCGTCGTTGGTCAGATGGAGCGGTTGCTCCTCATCGTTGGCGTCACCCGACTGCCCCTGAGCGGTCAGGAGTGTGTTCAAGGAGAGTACTGAAACGGTGATCAAGTATATTGATATAGATTCGCCACATTAAATCAAATGTTACTTCTTCAATAAATTTACCATCTGCAGGGGTGTAGAATAACACAACTAATGAACCTACGTAAGAAGTTTAGTGCGCAGCTTTGAAGTGGAATTTTATTCTCTTACAATATCATACTAAGACAAAGAAAATTGAGCACTGCCTTCAGAGATAAATCTATAAATGCTTAGTTAGGCGATCCCAATGCCAATCAATGAGTCACTAACTTTTTCAAAAGCCATTGAGCATTTGTTGTACGCCCACGCAATATTTGTAATACATTTGGTAATACATGACTTTCAATTATTATAGTCCAACTAATATCCAATTAATATCCAACATACATATCTACTTACAAAAGCTTTGATAAGGGAGCCTAGTAGCTAAGTTATCGATTTTCCTTTGCTTGTCCGCTCTATAAGATTATTTTATTATAGTAAGCTACAAGTGCCAAGGCAAAGAAGTCAAAGAAAATACGGCGTTTTTTCTTTCAATTTGCTTTCATTCGCTGGGTGCACTTGCGAGTTATGAAACGCACTGTAGGGTCTGAAAGCAGGAAGCACTGGAGATCCGCGAAACTCACTCAACAATGGTCCTATGCAAAGTCTTTCGGTTTTGTCGCCGGTTGAGTAATGTCGCAAATTGGCATTACGCATCTGTGCTCCGCCCCCGCCTCCCTAATGGGAAAGTATGTCGTTGTTCAACTGAAGCATTTAATGTTTATTTAGTTGTGAGTTTACTTTGCTTGGCTGCCGTGACATAATCTCTGCTCGTCGGGCTTGGATTGCTCGGTTTTTTGGTGGGCTTTTCTCCATTTGGCCAGTGAGTTGGCATTTTTGGAGGAGAAGATCTGTCCGCGATGAGGAACTTCCTCCCGGATGATTCTTTATGTAAGTTGATGGGCGCCAAGGTCGCCAAGAGATTTCACCTCGCAGCGAAGGAAAACAAAATTGATTGTCTTAAAGTGATTTCTGTTTTATTTCGCCTTTTTCTGCTTTATTTTGATTATCTTGCTTTGCTTTTATGCCAGATTCGAACGCGGCTCATTAACATTTTTCGAGGTGTGCACTGCAACTTTGCCACTTTCACTTGGAATAAAATTGCCCATACCAAATGGCACTGCTTTACTTTGTTGCTGCTCACCTCAACACAATGAAATATTGGCCAATTATAGGGCTTATATAGACATGATTTCTTCGGAAAAGTGAATGCCCCGGAGGCCCTAGACAGACTAAGCACATTCGCTGTGGATTCGTGCTCTCTTTTCGGTTCATTGTTAATCATACTTTTGTGCATTTTGACCCAAAAAGATAAAAGTGAAAATCGGTTGAAATATTCTTAAGCGGCATGTCATTAATCAAGATCAATCTAGATCGTTTTTGGTGAGTTCTACGTTGGATAGTTTAAGAATGACTACTGATATTTGTTAATTTACTGCTAATGACCTGAGTTAAAAAAGAATTAATTAGTTTACTGCTCCATGTTTTCTTTTTCACTTTGAAACTCTGTTCAAAATATCAAAGATAGAATTTAAATTCTGCTTTTTCGAAGAAAGAATGTTTTATTTTAATAAAAGACTGGTGAAACAAACGTTGACTAACAGGATATAGGGTATAAAAGGAATCTTAATCATTCTTCATCATCAGAACTAGACTTTTCGGTCTGTCCATGTCCGTCTGACTGTCCTTATGAAAGTCAAGATCTCTGGAACCATAATGCCTTGACATTTGAGATCAAGCATGCATTCTGTGCAAGTTTCTTTCAGAACGTTGCCACGTCCACTGTAACGCCCTCAAACCG